AAGTCGGGCATTCCCGGCCCACCAAGCAAAACCGGTGGTTTCTTGGTCACGACCAGCTAAAGCTAAAGTTCCATTAAAGAGCGTTTCCACGGGGTGAGTCGCATTTCGTTTTGGTTCTTAAAACTTTTAAAGTAAACTAATTAATGTCGGTAGTTTTGAGAATGTGTACCACCATGTCAAGAACTATTATTTTTAAATATTTTAAAAAGTTTAGATATTTTAAAATTTTAGAAACTAAAATATAAATAACTCAAATAAAACAAATTAAAACTGTTTTTTTTTTTTGTTTCAAAATTGTTATTTAGAATACAAAATGAGTTAGAAATTTGGATAATACCATTATTGGGTACAAAACTTGGTGCATTTTTATTGGTCATGGAAGCCATTCTGAAGCATAATTGAATTAAAAAAAGCTGGCTCAGTTTGGTGAATCTGTGGGTGTAATTTGTAAAGAGGAGTGGACTGGGTGGGCCCAATATCCAAATTTTCAAATATAAAGTTCTTATTTTTCTTTCCTTTCTTCTAGTCCTTCTTCTCCAACCTAGTGGAGATCATAATGGCTGTCTTTATACATAATTTTACAATTGACATTGGTGAACCTTTTGTCATCATGGATGGTTTACCTTCACACACCCATTAAGGTAATCGAGTACAAAGGACGAATCGTTGTCATGTGTTTGGTGGGTTTTTTGAACTTTCAATTTCAATGGATTCACTCCATGCGTATTCAACTCTGATTCAAAATACTAAAACATCCCGTTGATACGAGCATATTTCAATTAGCTAACATATTTGTGAGGTCCCACGTCTGTTGGAGAAGAGAACGAAAATGAACATGTTTCAATTGATTAACGTATTTGTGAGATCTCATATCAGTTGGAGAAGAGAATGAAACATTCCTAGTAAGAGTGTGAAAACCTCCTCCTAACAAACTCGTTTTAAAATCGACGGGTCAAAACGGACAATATTTGCTGATGGTGGGCTTGAGCTGCTACACTATTATAGAGAGATTAAAATGGTAACTTTCATCTCTTTTTATAAACTAAACGAAGGAGAACGAACATGGTGCTTTCAAACGAAGAAACCTCTCGAATATATGGTATGGATTAAACTATGTTTAGGTGTTCATCCTAGTGAAATTAGAGCTAAACTTACCACTCCCTCGCATCATTATCCAATTCTAATCCTTTGTTCCCTTTAATCATATTTCCCTCCAAAGCAAAGGGTGCTTTACCCCACATCCAAACATGGCCTTTTTGGGCGGCAAGAACCCAAGAGGATTAACCGCGCTCATGTCATTCCTTCATCATTCCCCCTTCACCATCCTTCTTTCCTTCCAAACCCCTTTTCATGGCGGAAGTTTTCTCAATATATAGCCAATGGGATTCCATGGTCACTGGTTCTTGAGCCATTCCACTTTCAATCTGCTGCTCAAACTCATCAGAATCCTCATCCTTACAAATCCCATTTCGGGAAGAACGAGAGATTGAGAAAAAGGGTTTTCTAAAGTGGGGTTGTTCTTGATTTTTGATGTTTGATTGGTTATTGAAGAATGAGAAACTTCCATAACCTGGAGCTCGTTACCATGAGCTTATGCAATGCTTTTCTTCTGCCATTAGTTCAAGGCTCAGCTCATGAAGGGTTGAAGAAAGCTAGGAATCAGAGGAGTATAGAAGACGGCCATGAAAAGGCAAACGAAAAGCTAATTTTCTCGTTAGAATCATTGATATACGTTTCAATTTGTTCTTGTCAACTATTTTTCTTGTTGATTTATTGATGTAAGATTACGTTTAAGAGTAGGAGATTCTTTAAAGTATTGAAATATGTTTATATTTTCGCAGCCAAGCCATGAAAAGAGATCTGATATTCAACTCCATGGATTGCTCCTCTGGATTTCAATGGGGTTCTTAATGCCTGTTGGTATACTTACAGTTAGAATGTCTGGTCGGATAGCTCGTGGGTCGACTCAATTAAAGGTGTTCTTCTACCTCCATGTTATTTTGCAGGTAACCCAGTTCTTCATTCTTCATTCTTTCTATCAATTTTGTCAATATCTTGTAACTTAGATATCATAAAATGCTCAAGAGGCAACCATTTGTGTTCTTGAATTTGGCAAGAACATAATCATATCCAACATGTTGTATCATCATGGTTTCCCCACTTTGTTTGTTCTGCTGATTACAATTTAGTGGTAGAGAAGTTAAAGAATTCATACTTGAATGGCAAGAAAAAGATTATAATTAGTGATTCTCATGATGAATCTCAGTGTCTCCAATAAGGATAAGCTCTGTTTCTCTCTCTCTTTCTTTCCAAGAGTAAATTATGAAAGTTACTCTTTTACTGACTTAATTTCATTTAACAGACACTATCCCTTCTCTTGGCCTCAGCTGGAGCTGTAATGTCCCTCAGAAAATTTGAGAACTTATTTAATAACAGCCATCAAAGAATAGGCTTAGCCCTTTACGTAGCCATATGGGCACAGGCAGTGATAGGCACTTTCAGGCCTCAAAGGTAAATGTCCTCCACCCTTCCCATTTACCCTTCACTTTTAGGACCTTTCTTGATTAATGGACTTTTGTAGGGCCAAAACATGATTGTTCTAGTAAGAGTTTATCATAACTTCTGATAAGAATTTTTAAAATTTATTTTGGTGCTTAATCACCCCTCTGTTCGGTTATAGAGTCTGTTGTTTATTTATATTATAGAGAAAATGGTCATCTAAACGAATATTTATGGTCTTATATTCTTTGTGTTGATCTAGATCGATTGAATGCGTTGTTGTACGATCCTAACACCTATTGCTTCACGTGTGTGCAGGGGAAAGAAAGAAAGAAGTGTGTGGTTTCTTATGCATTGGAGTCTTGGAACAATAGTTTCTCTAGTGGGAATTATCAATATCTACACAGGCTTGAATGCGTACCATAAGAAAACTTCAAGAAGCATTGGATTATGGACTGTTCTCTTCACTGCAGAGATCTGTTTCATTGGTTTCTTTTATTTGTTTCAAGATAAATGGGAGTTTTTGCAGAAGCAAGGGGTTATTTTAGAGGATTCTGAAGGAGTTTCAGCTCCTGATGAACAACAGGTAGAAGCTCAAAGCCAAAATCCCATGGATTTGTTGCCTGATCCTTGTACCAAACAAAATGCACTCAGAAACTTGTTTGATTAAAAGGACTAAGTTCTATGCTTACATCATGTTCATCTGACTCAAATCTCTAGTTACACTGATGAGTGCATGCATCAAAACCAGCATATTCCATTTTCTCCAAATTGCATCAAATTTCTTAATTCAATCTAATTCTTAGTGCTTAAAGTTTAGCCCCAAAAGATGTTGTGTCTTTGTTAGTGGTTTAATATTGTATTAGGAGAGAAGATCTTTGGTATAATCTTTCTTGAATTCTTCGTGATGGTCTGCTTTTGAGTATCATTTTTCTTCCTTTTTCTTAGTGGAAAAGGCAGTCATTTAGGGGATGGGGTACCCGATTTGATCTATAAAGCTTTGTAAACGAAGTCAAGATTTGGTAAAGGAGCGTCTTGTTTTGCTTCGCCAAATGCTTCAATGATTTAGAAAGCCGCAAGCAACGAGGCTGTAGCCTTTGATTATTATAATGCTATGCGTTAAAATAATAGTGAGTTATGTTTGTGTTACCATTTTTAAAAAATTAATTAAAATAAGTAGGAGGAGAGTGTAACCATTCAAGCCCACCTCTAGCCGATTTTGTTCTTTGGCCTGTATTGTCATCAGCCTGACGATTTTAAAACGTGTCTACTAGGAGAAGTTTCCATTCGTGTTAGAAACCACGAACCTCCACAATGTTATGATATTGTTTACTTTGAGTATAAGCTCTCGTGACTTTACTTTGGGTTTTCGATTTATTCTTTACTTGTAAACTCATGATCATTCCCTAAATTAGTCGATGTGGGACTTCCTCCCAATAATCCTCAACACTTCGTTCTTCTCTTCAACCGATATGAGATCTTACAATCCACCCCACCTCCCTTAGGGATCCAACGTCTTCGTTGGCACACTACCCGATGTATGTCTCTAAATACCATTTGTAACTGTCCAAGCCCACTAGATATTATTTACTTTGGCTTATTACGTATCGTCATGCTCACGATTTTAAAACGCTTCTACTAGGGAGAGGTTCTCATACCTTTATAAGAAATGCTTCGTTCTTCTCTCCAACTCTTATGGGATCTCACAAAGAGATATAATTATAATATTTTTATTTATACAATTTAAAATAGTTTAAAATGAGAAACAAGGAATGATAGTCTTATGTCAACTTGATGCGTATTTTGATTAAATGACCTGTTATATTTGTCAATGTTCTTGTCACTACTTAGCAAATTTGATGATTAATTTTGTACATCAGGACCAAATTTAAAATTTTAAGAACTAAAAATTATGTACTAAATTAAGAATATGGAAACATACTAAATTAAAAATTATGTTCCTTACTTTAATATATATTTTTTTTAAAAAATATGAATAAAATTTTAAAAAATAGTGTTAATACTCTTTATTTTTATAAAAAAAAGTTCAAAAAAATTATTATTATCAACGTAGGGACGAAAACGTCTATCGATACTTTATAGATTATCTTAAAACTTTTTAGTGCAATTTTTTTAAAAGTTTACAAGTATTTTTTTACACGTATATTTTTTTAATTTTCTTTTAAAGTTTAAAGGTATTTTTGAAGTCAGTAAAAAAGTTTTTAAAACAGTAGAAACTTAAATGGTATTTTTGAAACAAATTATTAACAAACGCTAGTATATTTGAATTTTTTTTTATATATATATAAATTTTATTAAGAATATTATTGAAAATTTAAAAATTTAAAAGTATTTTTTTATAGATAAATTACCAGCTTATTTTTATTAATTTAGCATTTTTAAAAATAAAAAACAAAATTAACTGCTATTTTATATCATCTTTCGGAAAAAAAAAAAAAAAAAAACTATCCACGTTTCAATCCTGGATGGATTGCAGACATTGGAATCCGTAAGTTGAAGCAAAAAATTGTGAAGCCCTAAAAGTTGGAACATTTTGAGAATTGCGTTAAAAATTGGCTCCATCATCATTTATGAACACTGATGTTTGTTTCTGACATGTTTGTCTTTGTTCGACAACTGTGTGGAGGAAGGAGGATCTTGCACCTGTGATACTCTTTTGGATTTTTCTTTCTTCCCTCAACAATCGAGCTCTGTTCTTGATTCTATTTCGATTTCTCTTCAAAATCTGTTTGAATTTTGATCCGCCGTTGTCAATCTCCGCCGCATTTTACGATCTTCCTCCTCTCGAACTCTTCGAGCTTCATCAGTGTAACAATGGCTTCGCAAGATACTCATAGCCATAGCCACGACCACCACCATGGACATGACCATGACCATGACCACGGCCACGATCATCACCACCACGACCACGGACATGATCATCACCACAGCCACAAGTAATTTCCATTCAATTTGTGCATTTAGGTCTTGATATTTGATCTCATTTCTCTGCTTAGCGTTCATTGTTTACTTATAACAGAAAACCTCAGGGGGATTCATCCTTTGTTGGAGCAGATGGTAGGGTTTATCACAGTCATGATGGACTGGCGCCTCATTCCCATGAACCCATTTACTCTCCTGGCTTCTTCAGCCGGAGAGCTCCGCCTCTTCTTACTAGAGATTTCACTGAAAGAGCTTTTACCGTCGGTATTGGTGGCCCTGTTGGTACTGGGTATATTTCCATTTGCTTTCATTGTTTTTTACTCATTCCCATAGAAGGAAAATGCAGAGGAGATTTAGTTTTGAGCCTCTAAGAACATTCTACTGTTTTTTTATGAACTTTGAAGCCAATTTTTTTACTATTGTTTAGGAAGACAGCTCTGATGCTAGCTCTCTGTACCTTCTTACGTGACAAATACAGTCTAGCTGCAGTAAGTGAGATTTTGAATCGATTCTCTATATCACTTTCACTTTTCAGTTTCTGTGCTTCACTTCCTAATTTAATATTTGTGGAATCTTGGGTCTGTTATGCTTTTACTTTGTATATGCTCATTCTAAAATAAAGCTGTCTATTCAGCTTTTTGTTGAGTTTTATTGAACCAGTTTCTCTGTTAGTCTCAGATCCTACTTCCCATCTAATTTGAGACGATAATGTAAGAGCCTAAACCTACCGCTAGTAGATATTGTCCTTTGAACTTTCCCTTTTGAGCTTCCCCTTAAGATTTTTAAAATGCGTCTGCCACGGAGAGGTTTCCACACCCATTTAAAGAATGATTCGTTCTCTTCCCCAACTGATGTGAGATCTCACAATCCACCCTCCTTTGGGGCTTGCTAACATTCGTTCCCTTCTCCAATCGATATGCGACCCCCCAATCCATCCCCTTTGGAGCCCAACGTCCTTGCTGGCACACTCCTCATGTCCACCCCCTTCGGGGCTCAGCCTCCTAGCTAGCATATCGTCCAGTGTCTGGCTTTAGTACGATTTGTAATGGCCTAAGCCCATCTCTAGCAGATATTGTCTTCTTTGGGCTTTCCCTCTCAGGCTTTCCCTCAAGGTTTTTAGAAAGCGTCTGCTAAACCACATCTTTATAAAGAATGCTTCTGATGTGGGATTTCACAGATAAAAGCATCAATTCCATTGTGTTTTAGAATATAATCAGCTGGATAACCTTCACTGCTCTATACATGTATACAAGAGGTTGTATACTATGATTATTATCTGCTGATATTGTTTTCAAGTAGGCTGATTCAATTACATCAAGTTCTTTGTTATAGTAAATGTTAATAACTAATATTGTGGTAGAATGAAATGTTTTTCTGCTGAAACCAAAAGATATTTATTTGACATGATCACTGTTAGGTCACAAATGACATCTTCACGAAAGAGGATGGAGAATTTTTGGTGAAGCATGGAGCTCTACCAGAGGAAAGGATTAGAGCAGTGGAAACTGGTGGCTGCCCGCATGCGGCTATTCGCGAAGACATCAGCATTAATCTTGGACCTCTTGAGGAGCTTTCAAACTTGTACAAAACAGACATACTTCTCTGTGAATCTGGTGGAGGTAATTTGGAAATCCCCAATTATGAAGCTTGAATAACATGTGTGTTAGATTACTTAACTTCACTGGATCTTTGTTAGCCCTTCCTTCTCGTTAATATACTTGCATTAGAACCTGAAAAATCAGTTGTAGGTTCAAATGGTATGTTGAATGTTTAGCATTCAAAAGAAAAATAGTTCACAGTAATTTAGATATCTCGGGTTCTCATATTTGATGTTAAAGAAGAAAGTAATCTTGAATGTGAGATCCCACATCGGTTGGGGATAAGGGTGTGGAAACCTCTCCCTAGCAAACGCGTTCTAAAAACCTTGAAGGAAGCTCGAAAGGAAATGCCCAAAAAGGACAATATCTGGTAACGGTGGGCTTGAACGGTTAAAATGTTGCTACGGGTGGTTGGAAGTCTTTGATTCATGTTTTTATCTGTTTTGTTGTGCAGATAACTTAGCTGCCAACTTCAGCAGGGAACTTGCTGACTATATCATCTATATCATAGATGTGTCTGGTGGGGATAAAATTCCTCGAAAAGGCGGCCCCGGAATCACTCAGGCTGATCTCCTTGTATGTCATTTCCTAATTTTGTTTCTAAGTATCCATCTCAGTCTCTCTAAATGGTTCCATTTCAACAACAGGTAATAAACAAAACTGACCTTGCACAAGCTGTTGGAGCTGATCTAGCGGTTATGGAGCGTGACGCACTGAAAATGCGAGATGGGGGGCCGTTTGTATTTGCTCAGGTTAGCTCCCCCCTCGGTTCGATACTTGATCACACTTTGTAGCTAGAGAATCATGTAGTTGATTATCTCAGTTAATGTCTTCGAGTCTGAACGAGAATGAAGAATGGAAAACCTTATTTTTGTCGATGTTAAGCGTATCTGCCTGACACGCAGGTCAAACATGGAGTAGGCGTCGAGGAAATCGTTAAGCACATTATACGGGCGTGGGAAGGAGCGACAGGGAAGAAACGGCATTGACATCTCTCAGCTGGGAAATAGGAGCCGTTGTACACAGCTTTGGTGCCTTCGTTTCAGAATTATGTAAAATCTTTGTTGGTTTGTTCCTCTAGGCAAAGTTCAAACTTTTAGGTTCGAAACAGGACTTGTGTCGTTCTAAGATAGATCATAAGAGGCTCCAAACTCATATGGGAATTGTCCAAGGCTCAAACTTATTATGCCGCTTGGGATGATTTGAAGGATACAATCTAATCCGACTTGAATTGTTGGTCATTTATTAGAATTTTACAAATATTTGATTTTTAAAAATATGAATCAGCCTTTTTTGATCTTCCAGGAGGACTAAAGTGAACATTCTAAAAAAATATATATCAAAATAAACTTATATTAAAAAAAATTCAAATTATTCAATTAGAGTTATTTAAAGCTTTAATTTGAAAATTTTACTGGCGGAGATGACTTCTTTATCGTGCCACTCCTACCTTCTCTAAACAGATTAGAAAAGATTTGCTCTATTATAAGAAAGTATTATGTTTGGTATCTTAGGTCTAAATTTGTATGCTCCTAACTAGAATTTTTTTAATTATTTTGCAAAAGAATTAAAAAATAGAGAGCTAAGATCAAATATGCTGTATTAAAAACACGTTGTCCGTTATCTATTGGGCTACAGAGACTCCGTTGCTATATTCAGAATATAGCAGAAATTATTAACTGAATTTTTTCCAGTAGAAATAACAGTTTTAACAAGGACTTCGTGGCCCAATGGATAAGGCGCTGGTCTACGAAACCAGAGATTCTGGGTTCGATCCCCAGCGGAGTCGCATTATGTTTGGTATCTTAGAATTTTTTTAATTATTTTTGTATTAAAAACACGTTGTCCGTTATCTATTGGGCTACAGAGACTCCGTTGCTATGTTCAGAATATAGCAGAAATTATTAACTGAATTTTTTCCAGTAGAAATAACAGTTTTAACAAGGACTTCGTGGCCCAATGGATAAGGCGCTGGTCTACGAAACCAGAGATTCTGGGTTCGATCCCCAGCGGAGTCGCATTATGTTTGGTATCTTAGAATTTTTTTAATTATTTTTGTATTAAAAACACGTTGTCCGTTATCTATTGGGCTACAGAGACTCCGTTGCTATGTTCAGAATATAGCAGAAATTATTAACTGAATTTTTTCCAGTAGAAATAACAGTTTTAACAAGGACTTCGTGGCCCAATGGATAAGGCGCTGGTCTACGAAACCAGAGATTCTGGGTTCGATCCCCAGCGGAGTCGCATTATGTTTGGTATCTTAGGTCTAAATTTGTATGCTCCTAACTAAAATTTTTTTAATTATTTTGCAAAAGAATTAAAAAATAGAGAGCTAGGATCAAATATGCTGTATTAAAAACACTGTCCGTTATCTATTGGGCTACAGAGACTCTGTTGCTATATTCAGAATATAGCAGAAATTATTAACTGAATTTTTTCCAGTAGAAATAACAGTTTTAACAAGGACTCCGTGGCCCAATGGATAAGGCGCTGGTCTACGAAACCAGAGATTCTGGGTTCAATCTCCAGCGGAGTCGCATTATGTTTGGTATCTTAGGTCTAAATTTGTATGCTCCTAACTAGAATTTTTTTAATTATACGTTGTTCCTTATCTATTGGGCTACAGAGACTCCGTTGCTATATTCAGAATATAGCAGAAATTATTAACTGAATTTTTTCCAGTAGAAATAACAGTTTAACAAGGACTCCGTGGCCCAATGGATAAGGCGCTGGTCTACGAAACCAGAGATTCTGGGTTCGATCCCCAGCGGAGTCCGTGGCCCAATGGATAAGGCGCTGGTCTACGAAACCAGAGATTCTGGGTTCGATCCCCAGCGGAGTCGCATTATGTTTGGTATCTTAGGTCTAAATTTGTATGCTCCTAACTAGAATTTCAGAATATAGCAGAAATTATTAACTGAATTTTTCCAGTAGAAATAACAGTTTTAACAAGGACTCTGTGGCCCAATGGATAAGGCGCTGGTCTACGAAACCAGAGATTCTGGGTTCGATCCCCGGCGGAGTCGCATTAATACCCTATATATTATTATTGTTCCTTTTGCCAGTAAAAAACAAGAGTCCATGGACCAGGGAAAATGGACCCAAGCCCATGAGGCGAGAGTCCACGAAAAAAGGGTCAATTTAGTAACTTAATATTTTATAATTAATTATACGAAAACATTAGTATAATTATACGACTCCGCTGGGGATCGAACCCAGAATCTCTGGTTTCGTAGACCAGCGCCTTATCCATTGGGCCACGGAGTCTTTGATATTATACATGAGTTAGTAACTATAATTTTCACTATTCATTCTGTGAAAAATTTATTTAAAGTTTAAAATTTAACGACTACGCTGGGGATTGAGAACCCACAATCTCTGGTTACGTAGATCATCGCCTTTTCCATTGGGCCACAGAATCCTCGTACATGAGTCAGTAACTCTAATTTTTACTGTTTATGCTAACAAAAAATTAAAAGGTAAAATTATACGACTCCGCTGGGGATCGAACCCAGAATCTCTGGTTTCGTAGACCAGCGCCTTATCCATTGGGCCACGGAGTCATCGTTTAGTACATGTGATCTACGTTTCAATATTTATAATAAATAAATCATATTTATAAATGAGACATATTCTAATCCATAGTACAACCATGAAATGAGGAAATAGTCATAGATGGTACTTCTGTCGATCAGACTTCTATGGTAATCTAAATTGGCAAAACGATCGACTTCTTATTCACTATTTTAACATTTTTATGGAATTCTTAATAAGAATATGAACCGAACATCATCGTTCGTGAGATTAACAGGTTTATGGTTTGAATGCAGTGAACGTCACGACCGAGTTGTGTCCACCAAATCCAAATGAATTTGAGATAGCTGGAAACAAAGATTCACTAAACTTGATTATCAAACCGGTAAGAGGGGTTTTAATGAAAGAAATGGACAATCCCCAAGCTTAGCCAACTTACCAACATTCACCGCGTGTTGTTGCTTTATGTTTGTGACGGTGTCTAAATCAACTAAAGGCTCCAGATTCTACGGTCAACGAAGTTTCAGAGCTCTCTTTATGTGAACATGTAAAAGATCATAAAGTAGACTCACAAACAATTTTAATCACAACGAGAGTCCTTCTCTATATTCTTAAATGTCCTATCATTCGGATTCAGCACTTAATGACTTCGATATTCTCCGACCACATTACCTCCTTATTTTGACTTATTTTTGAGAGGGAACGTTATCCCCACACACCAACACAATCTTTTTTAACATGCTTTGTCTCACTCACCGTATTCATATATGGTATTGTTTTAAAAATTATATCCATTGAACTTGGACGTCGAGCCGTTATAAGTGGTATTAGAGCAGTATCTCTCCTAGTAGAATTTGGTTCAGGGACCTACTAAGACCAAAGTTTGTGGACATGTGATATCCAAGCAAAGGAGGGGTACATGAATGAGCTAAAACTACCTCCAAATGAGAATGATTCTGAGGATAAAATGGTTGAAAAAGGCTTTAAAAGATTGAAGTTACTACCTATAAAGAAAGTTACACATTCTTTTTCAGCGACTCAATTATAGAAACTCCAAAGTAATTAAACCTGTTTTCCTTCGATCATTTCTTGGATGGTCTCTCAAGAATTTTCATAGGAAGAATGTCAACAAGGACAAAACATGCTAAAAGAATTCGGGTTGGTCTGTAGGGATAATAGTCTTGGAGATAAAATTCCTCACTTACATTTATATAATCCTCTTTTTAATTAACCAATGCGAGACTTAACCGTTAACTCCAAATTTATGAAACCATATGCTAAAATGTTAAAGGGAACGTACAAATTGATTAATGGAAGGATGCAACCACCCTCTTTGAATTGCTTTCACCGTGGCAATAGCTTCCAAACCTCCAGCAGCACCAAATGAGTGCCCTTTCATAGACTGACAACCACAAAAAAACATCAGAAACCAGCGGATAATCATTGGTGCATAGGGTGGGGTAGGGAGGAAGAAGAGAGGTTACCTTAGTCGCATTGATTTACAGGTTAACTATATTAATGCACATGCAACATCCACCGTTGTCGGTCACCAAGAAACAGAACAAGAATAAAAACATGGAATTGTTAGTGTTAGATGAACACGACTCTCTACTATAATATGATATTGTTTACTTTGAGCATAAAGTCTAGTGGCTTTATCTTGGACTTCTCCAAAAGTTCTCATATCAATGAAAAGAGTATTACTTGATTATAAACCCTTGAACATTTCTTAAATTAGCCAATGTAGAACTTTAATCATCAAACAGTGAACAACCTCCTCAAACGATACGTCAGCTCTTCAAGACAGCTTAATATGCACCAAGACACAAACTCCATCAGCTCTTGGATTGGACATGTGATAAGCATCACAATTAATAGCCCCGCCCAAGTATTCGCGAACAATTGGTGCACCTCGATTCATTGCATGCTCCAAACTCTCCATTACCAATATGCCGGCCCCTTCTCCCACAACTAAGCCATCACGATCTTTGTCCCATGGCCTCGAAGCAGTTTTAGGATCATCATTTCTCTCAGATAGAGCCCTACAAGCGGCTAAACTCCCCAGTCCAATAGGTATGATAGCAGCTTCATATCCACCGGCAAGCACCACATCAGCCTGTCCTCGACGGATGTGATTGGCAGCAGCATAGAAGCAATAATTAGAGGTGGCACAAGCAGCGGATATAGAATAAATGGGACCCATGAAACTGTTGAAAAAAAGATAGTGAAAGAGATAAGAATAGATAGAATAGATGAATGTTGAAGTGCTTTATAATTGTGTATTGACTTAATGCTTAGAGGGTTACACAATTCCCGTATTTATAGCTTATAAACTGGGCCAGTAATAGTAAATTATCGAAATCTAGAAAAATTCAAATCTACTAACAATCTCCTAAAATCTTGATAGTTTGAATATTTGAATCATATCTCAACTACTCTGAATCATATCTTTTTTAATACTTTGAATCATATCTCAATACTCTCCCTTGATTCAAAGTTGCAGATGTCAAGTACAGAGCTTTTCTTTACAAGGCCTTCATAAATATGTCTGGTTTAACCCGTACAATGTCTGTCTCAGCTTGTATACCTTTGTTTCTTTGTCTTCCTTTATGAATCCCTCTGGCGGTGTTACATAAACCTCTTCTTGTAAATCTCCATAAAACTTTTCGTTTGGTAGGTCAACCATATCCCATGTTCCATCTTTCTTAACTGACTGCATCTCTACTGCCATGACTTTCTTCCCGTCTTCTTTTTCAGTTGCTTCTCCATAATTCATAGGGTCTGAAACAGTAAGAGCAAATTGACATGATGCATATATGTCAGCTAAAGAGATGTCTCATCTGAAAGTTCTTTAAGAGAAGAATTGCTGTTTAGTGATGCTGAAGATGATGAATTTGACACACTTTGCGTTGCAGTGGAGGCACTAGGAGATGCACTGGAGTTGACCCTTGTCTCTTCATTTGAAAAAACTTCAACGGTAATCTTTTGCTGCTCTTGTTCTTTACTCCAATCCCAACTCACGTTTTCATTAAATATTAATCCCTTCTAACTAAAATCTTTTCACGGATGGGGTTGTATAATTTATATTCCTTTGATTGATTATAATACCCAATGAAAATGCATTTTTCAGATTTTTCATCAAGCTTTTGACGAATTTGAGGATGTTTCAAAGCATAAGCAACACAACAAAAGATTCGTAAATGACTTACAGATGGTTTCCTTCCATGTCATGCTTCATAAGAAGTTCGATTCATAACCGCCTTTGTTGGTGAGATGTTTAATAGATAAACAAATGTTGCTACGGCTTCTGCCCAAAATTGGTTTGGAAGTCTTACTTCTTGCCATCTCCACAATAGTTCGATTTTTTCGTTCAGCGATTCCATTTTGTTCTGGAGTGTAGGAAGCTGTTAATTCCCTTTGGATGCCCTCTTCTTCACAAAACAGATTGAACTTTTTAGATATGAACTCGCCACCTCTGTTTGTTCGAAGAACTTTAATGTGACAGCCACTTTGGTTCTCTACCATAGCTTTAAAAATCTGAAACTTCTGAAAAGTTTCTGACTTATGTTGTAGGAAGTAAACCCAGCTCATGCGGCTATAATCATCAATGAATAGTAAAAAATATATACTCCCACCCAAGGACTTCGTTTGCATTGGCCCACATAAATCAACATGAATTAGTTCTAAGACAATGTAAAGCTCTTCTAGCTTTTCCAATAGGAAAGGACTTCCTAGTCTGCTTGCCATAAATGCATCATTCACATAAATTAGTTGAGTCAATTCTTGGTAATCCGAAAACTATACATTTATTCTTGAGTATTTTCAGGCCGTTCATATGAAGATGTCCATATCTGAGATGCCATAATGTTGAGTCATCTTTCGTGCTAGCAGCAAGAGCAAAATTCTTCATGTTAGAAATGTCAAGTGGAAACGTCTTATTTGAAGTCATGACAATTTGAACTTTATGACTTGATTTCTTATGTGTAATGACACATGTGTTGTCATCAAATAGAATTGAATATTCTCTGGTCATCAATTGTCCAACACTCAATAAATTATACCCTAAATCAGGTACAAATTGAACATTATCTAATTGTTTTTATCTTACCATGACTGGTTTCGACTTTCACTGTACATTTTCCCTCAACTTGCATCTCTTTTGTGTTTCCAAGTTGCACCTTAATTTTTTGCGTCTCATCAAGCTCTTTGAATGAAGATTTGGTGTTTGTCATATGGTTCAAGCATCCGCTATCAACAAACCATAACTCACCCTTTTTTGGATTAGTATCCATGCACGCCATAAGCAGCTTTTCTTCTTCTTCATTCTCTGCTGCAAAATTCATTCGTTGATTTTTATACCAACAATCAGATTTTGTGTGCCCGTACCTTATGCAATGGTAACATTGTATGACATTCCTTTGTTCATTAAATTGTCTTTGTCCATCACTTCTCCATCTACCCCTGTTATCACGACCACCATGGAAGCTGCGAAATCCTCCTCTTCCATGACTTCTACCTGCTAAATGAATATTTTCTCTTTCGTTGTTGGTTGTCTCCTTCACCTGTAGTGCCTTTTTTTCGTTCCTTTCTGATGCTCTATTGATTCTTGTCTCATGGGCCTGAAGCGAGCCCATCAATTCATCAACGGAGAGTATGGATAGATCCTTAGCTTCTTCTATGACAGTCACCCCATGGTCAAACTTTGGAGTCAAGCTTCTCAACACCTTTTCAACAATTGTTTCGTTTGAAATTTTCTCTCCATAGGTACGCATCTGACTGACTATTGTCATTGCTCTTGACAAAAAATCAACAATTGATTCGCCATTCGTCATGAGTAGAGTTTCAAAATCACGTCTTAGAGATTGCAATTTCACTATCATGACCTTTGAATCTCCTAGAAACTTCTTCGGTAGAATTGACCATGCCTACTTTGATGTGGTTGATGCTGCAATTCGTGAGAAGATAGTTTCATGAACTGCTTGCTGAATAATGAATAAAGCCTTGGCATCGTTTTTCTTGGTCTCTCTTAGTCTCTCCTTTTGGTTCTAATACATCAACAAACCCGTCCTCCACCAAGTCCCATAGCTCCTGCGATCTAAGCAAGGTCTTCATCTTGATGCTTCACCACTCATATTTCTCACCATTAAAGATCGGTAACAACGGTGCAGAGGAGGAAAAGTCAGCTACTACCATTTTTGTTTTGTGAAAGAAAATAATCACTCGCCCTCGTGTCGAACGAACTTGGCTCTGATACCAAAATTGTTGGAAAAAAGATAGTGAAAGAGATAAGAATAGATAGAATAGATGAATATTGCACTGCTTTATTATTGTCTATTGACTTAATACTTAGAAGGTTACACAAATCCCGTATTAATAGCTTATACACTAGACCAGAAATAGTAAATCATCAAAATCTATAAAAATTCAAATCTACTAACAATCTCCTAAAATCTTAGTAGTTTGAATATTTGGATCATATCTCAACTACTCTGAATCATATCTCAACTACTCTGAATCATATCTTTTTGAATACTTTGAATCATATCTCAACAGTCTCAATGACGTGGATGCTTATTATGACAGGCTGCTTTGTGGTGAGAACGGTATTACTCTCATCCTTGGATGCTTCCGAATTCCCTACACGCTTCGGTGGGCAAATCAGGGGATTCTCTACGGAGGGCAACGTTGACCCCAAGAATGATAAACGGCTTGACGATTGCTTTCGCTATTGTATTGTTGCTGGCAAGAGGGCGCTTGAGGATGCTGACCTCCATGGACGTCAGCGCTCCAAGGTCATTTCCTTTTGCTTCTTCTTTTGTTTGATAAAAAAGAAATAAATAAATATATGATTATTTTATTATTACAATAATTCATTATAATTCTTTACTAATAATTTTAAATTCAATTTAAATTAATTAATTAGGTTTTAAAATTATTATATACAAACATTGAATGAAGTAATCAAAATCAGTCATTAATTAATTAGGAATAATCATCAAGTAATTAACTATAATTATTGAAAATGAATTTTTAGCAAAGTAATTTAACTAATCATAATTAATTAATTAAATATATTTGCATATTTCTAACTAATTAATTAGTAACAAATTTAATTCATTTAATCAACTTTTATCTACCTCATATATAGACACAATATCTATCATCAAAAGGTATGAATAGATCTAAAAACAATACAAAGTTTGAGAAATAGAATTGGGATGAAGTTTAAATAGGATATAAGCTACCAACTAATACCTACAAACTTGAGAATAAAATATATTACTAATCAAATTATAAACGAAAAAATATTAAGGAGGTTCATAACTAATATATTCTTCAAATATTAACACGAATATTTTGATTAGTTCAAACTAGCAATAAGTTGTAATAAATTATGACAAGATCTACCTCTCCTTTTCCGGTATCTTCTATGGTATTATTTTTACTACAGATGGACAAAGCCCGTGCTGGTGTGGTTGTGCGAGGAGGGATAGGTGGTCTTACAGCCTTATCCAATGGTGTTCAAACTTTGTTAGAGAGAGGTCAAAGGAAGATAATTTTTTTTTTTTTTTTTGTTCCTTATAGCATTACAAATATGGTTCATAGTATTGGTTTATGTTGAGATAGTACACATGAATATCTATAGTGGTCCAACTTGAGATTAAGAGGGCTTATGGTTTGAATGCGGTAAATGCCACGACTGAGTTGTGTCCGCCAAATCCGAATGAATTTGAGATAGCTGGAAACAAAGAATCACCGATCTTGATTACTAAACTGGTATGCAGGGTTTTAATGAAGGAAAATGGAAATATACCAGGCATGGGCAATCCTTGATGCTTAGTCAACTTACCAACATTCACTTCGTGCCGTTGCTTTATGTTTGCGACGGTGTCTAAATCAACTGAAGGATCTGGGTTCTACACTCAAATCAGCGAAAAAATATTCATAACGTTCTTGTGATGATATCTTAATAAAGCAAACTATTAGCGCGAATGAAGTTTCAGAGCTCTATTATAGAATGGAGAGGAGAATAAATCATTTTTTATAATTATGTGGAAACCTCTCTCTAGCAGACACGCTTTAAAAGTTTTGAGGGGAAGCATTCACAACATTCACTTGTGCAAACGTGTAAAGATAAACCAACAATTTTTATTATGTTTTATCCTCGTTCACGTATGTTTTAGAAAAACTATCAAGAAATCACCTAATATAAAATTATTCTAGACTAATTTCGCTTAATTTGTAAGGCTTATGATTGAACTACTAATAGCAGTTTTCAAGAAATTCTTAATCCTAAGACATGAAATGATGCACTTAACCTAATATTATCTGAAACGAGATTGTGAAAATAAAAGGGAACGTACAAATTGGTTAATGGAAGGATGCAACCATCCTCTTTGAATTGCTTTCAAAGTGGCGATGGCTTCCAAACCTCCAGCAGCACCAAGGCAGTGCCCTATCATGGACTGAAAAGTAATGACAACCAGAAAAGGCATCAGCAAACCAATGGATGGCTTAACAATAATATATTTCAACCATGATGGGTAGGGAGGAAGAAGAAGCGTTGCCTTAGTCGCATTAATTTTGAGCTCTGATGTGTTCTTAAACACCTTCTTGATGGCTTTAATCTCAGTTAAGTCACCAGCAATGGTAGATGTTGCATGTGCATTAATATAGTTAACCTACAAATGAAACCAAGATACATGAAATCACTACACTTAAACTAAGAAACAGAATAAAAAGATGGGATGGAGCAACCTCCTCAGGCGATACGCCAGCATCCTCAAGGCAGCTCAAGATGCACGAAGACACACAAAGCCCATCAGCTCTTGGATCCGATATGTGATAAGCATCACAATTAATAGCCCCTCCCAAGTATTCGCCAATAATTGGTGCACCTCGTTTCATTGCATGCTCCAAACTCTCCATTACCTGTCAAAAACATCACACCATTAAACTATTAGAAATCACGAGTCTTCACAATAATATGATATTATCTACTTTGAGCATAAACTTTCATCCGTTTTGCTTTTAACGTAGGATCATTTCCTAAATTAGCCCAGGTGAGACTCCCTCATAACAATCCTCAACAATCTTTCCTGGAACAAATTACACTATAGAGCCTCTTTTGAGATATATGGAGCCTTCGAACAATCTCCCCTTAATCAAGACTCAACTCTTTCTCTAGAGTCTTCAAACAAAGTACACCCTTTATTAGACACTTAGTCATCTTTTACTATACTTTCGAGTCTCGCAATTTCTTTATTCGACATTTGAAAATTTTATTCACCCAAAGTCAAAACAAAGTGAAAAGCTCACCAGAACGCCAGCGCCTTCTCCCGCAACAAAGCCATCACGATCTATGTCCCATGGCCTGGAAGCAGTTTTAGGATCATGATTTCTCTTAGATAAAGCCCCACAAGCAGCTAAACCCCCCATTCCAATAGGTATGATACCAGCTTCAGAGCCACCCGCAAGCATCAGATCAGCTTGTCCTCGACGGATGTGATTGGCAGCCGTATAGAAGCAATAGTTAGAGGTGGCACAAGCAGTGGATATAGAATAAATAGGACCCATGAAACCAATATCGATGGCAAGTAAGGCAGACCCCATATTTGTAATGCTATAAGGAACGAAAAAAGGGGTTATCTTTCTATGACCTCTCTCTAACAAAGTCTGAATACCATCGGCTAAAACTGTAAGGCCACCCATCCCTGTTCCAACAACCACACCAGCACGCGCCTTGTTCATCTGTACTAAAAATTATATTAACTATTAACTAAAATTATTAATATAATTAATTAATTCTGATAAGTTAAATTATATTGCTAAAAATTCATTTATAATCAATTATTTATTTATTGGGACTAATTTTGATTAGTTTTTCCAATATTAATATATCAGAATTTTAAAACATAATTAATTGATTTAAATTATATCAGTAATTAACAGTAACGAATTACAATGAATTAAAGATTCTATTGAAATAATTAAATATGTATTTAATGCATTTTAAAGAAGGAAAAATACCAATTAACAAACTTATTTACCATAATCATAATAAATTATTCAATTAAAATGATTATTTCATTATTATTTATTTATTTATTTATTAGTGGATTTAGAAATATTATTTTTTTTAGTGATATTTTGAATTAATTTGAATTGTTTTATTAATTCACATATTAGAATTATGTATAAAGCTATCGTAATTAATTTGATAAAATAAATATACTCTTATTTCATACTTAAGCAAACACTAAAGAAGAAGCAAAAGGAAAGGACCTTAGAGCGGTGATCTCCACCGAGGCCAGCATCCTCGAGCGCCCTCTTGCCAGCAACAATGCAGTAGCGGCAATAATCGTCAAGCCGCTTATCATCCTTGGGGTTAACGTAGCCCTCCGAACAGAATCCCCGGATCTGCCCACCAAAGCGTGTAGAGAATTTGGAAGCATCAAAGCGATCGATGAGACTGATACCGCTCTCACCACAAAGCAGCCTGTCATAGTAAGCATCCACGTCGTTGCCGAACACAGAGACAAGCCCCATTCCAGTAATCACCACACGCTTCTTGGGGTCCTTCTCCCGCTTGGGCGCACCGACTGTGGAAGCCGCAGATGCAGCGACCACACAGACTCGTCGCCTGGATTTTGAAGCAGCGCCAACGAGGAAGGGGGAGCGGTTGCGGCTGCGAAATGGGTCCAATGGCGACGGCTTGAGCGTGGGGGAATGAACGGCCTGCATGGTGCTCGGTGCTGGAAAATTGCACTTTTGAGTGTCACACCCAAAGATCAAAGCTTCTTATTTGCTTGTTGATGGCTTGACATTAAATAGTCCAATCAATGTAGGCTGGATCAAAATATAAAAAATTTAAATATTTTAGTATTGAAATTAAAAAAATATAAAAAACTCATATTAATACCTATTAAAATAAAGTTTTTAGGTGATGGGATTTTTAAAGGAATGAATTAATATAATATTAAAGAAAATGTTTAAATAAAATGAATATGAGTTTTTAGAAACTAGATGATTGGAAGCTTCTTTTAGGGTTTAAGATTTAAAGAATACTCTTGAATAATATAATTTGTTTAATAAGTAATTTATTGTCAATATTAAATTTATTTTTATTACTTTAAGTATTGGGATTTCAACTCCGACTTCAAAAAGAATAAATATATTTTTATTGGTATGCTAGGTTCGTGTTCAATTTTAATACAATTTAAAATTATGTATACTATTAACATCTTTTTAAAGATAGATCTTTGGTGAGATATTATAAAAGTGGGGAAATTGAATCTTAAATATACATAAATGACACTTTTATTATGTATTAAAAAATTAGTTAAATTAATAAAATAATTATATATTTGGTACGTTGTAATAATATCTTTAAACTCTATCTAAATAAATAAATAAATATATGTATATATATTAGTTTTAGGTGAAAATATTTTAATATTTTCCAAAAAGTTTAAAAAGATATCCTTCAACTTTTCAGTAGTTTAAAAATAATATTTAGCTTCACAAAATTTTATTTATACCCTTAAAAAAAATTTAAAAATTAAAAAAAATATATCTTTAAACTTTTTTTAAAAGTTCAAAAATACTCAATGAAGCCATTAGTATTACGTTTCAAAATATACTTTTGAACTTTCAAAAGTAAGATTAATATTTATACATCATATTAATAGTATTGATATTTTAATTTTTTAAAAAAATTGAATGGGTTAATAGAACCTTGGGTATTTTTTAAACACTATTAAAAGTTTGGTCAATCCAAAACTAACTTATTGGAAAGTAGAGGTATTTTTAATAATTTAACCTACAAAATTAATTGTCATTTAATGTTAAATTTATTTTGAATAAAAGTATATTTAAATATTTAATTGCATTTATACGTGTTTTTTTTTTCTTCTTTTTTTTCTTCCAAAATTCCTTCAATAAAAGTTTGCTTTGCCTTTAAATGAAAATTTTGAATGAAGAAAAGAATGAAAAATGAGAAATAATTAAGCTAAAAGTTAACACAAAAGAGAGAAAATTAAAAAGTGAGTAACCGTTCAGGTATTAAATAAATAAATAAAAATGAAAAATGAGAAATTATTAAGCCAAAAATTAACATGAAAGAGAGAGTAAAAACAGTGAGTTACCGTGGAGGTATAAATAAAAAATGAAGTTAGAGAGAAAATCAAAGAGTAACTTTTCATATATAAATAAATAGTATTTGTCAGTATATTAATGTTAGAAAAAAAGTTGATATTAATGGTATTTTTTAAAATTATGATGTAATTAGAAATATAGATTTGTTTATATATAAATAATATATTTTCGGACTTCTTAAAATTATTAAGAGTATTAATGATTCTTTTAATTTTAAGGATATTTAAAAAAAAATTATTAATACCTTAATAAAAAAAAATTAATTTTTAATTTTTTTAAAATTGGAAAACGTGTTAAAAAGTTAAGGTATTAATATAAATTTAAAAAATTAGATGATATTTTTGTAACAAAATACCAAGCATATCTAATTATGAATATATATATATATATATATATATATATTAAGTTACTATTCAAACACTTACAAAACACCAAATTTCTAAGTGTACTATTTCCAAATTTTCTTTTTTAAGGCAAAAATTCTAACCTTTTTACAATTTAAATTTTATAATTCTATTTTTAGTTTCTTCATCATCAAAGTGTCTATTTTAATAACTGAATTAAAAATAATTATTATTTTGATCACTACTTTTGTTCCAATAAATATTAATGAGATGTTATTTAAACTTAAATCCAATAATTATAACATTTTTTATGGAATTCTTGATAAGAACATGACTTATGGTTTGAATGCAGTGAATGTCACGACTGAGTTATGTCCTCTAAATCCGAATGAATTTGAGATAGCTGAAAACAAAGAATTATAGAACTTCATTGGTATGCTAAACTGGTAATCCCTAACGCTTACCCAACTTACCAACATTCACCTCGTGTTGTTGCTTTATGTTTGCCACTCTGTCTAAATCAACCGAAGGCTCTGGGTTCTACACTCAAATGGAATATATATATATATATATATATATTGTTCATATTCTTGTGATGACATCTTAATGAAGCAAACTATTAATGCAAGTCCGAAATGAACGTGAGACTCACAAATGATTCTAATCGCTCTACTTTTATAACGTCTCAGAATATGGATTTGACACTTGATAGCCACTATTTTCTCGTGTGGCACTGTATGACCAATTACTTACCTCCTTGTCATGAACCACTTTTAAGAGTAAAAAACTATCCCTACAAACCAATATGAGTCTTTTTACCATGTGTTGTATTTGCTCACATAGAATTGCTTCAATGATTGAGTTACCAAAAAAAAAGTTACACATTGTTGGTATCTGTAGTAACTTCAGATTGTTGTAAACATTTTGTAATCGTCATAATTATAGGATAACACTCATCCGAATGTAGTCTTAACTCATTAACTTGCCTCTTCTTTAATCACGCGTCACATGAACTTGGGTGTTAGGTCATTACAAGTGGTATCAAATCGGTCTCTCCTGGTAAGATGTGATTTAGAGACAAATCAATGTAGAAGCTAGTGAACATGTGACATTTAAGTAAAGAAAAGGTACATAAATGAACTGAAACTATATTTAGATGGGAGTAATCTTGAGGATAAGAAAGTTGAGAAAAACTTAAATGAATTGAAGTTACTACCTCCAAATAAGTGTGTTTTGGTTGGAGCAATTTTATGTTGATGATCTCTTATAAATTTTCCTATGAACCATGTGAGTGAGAATCAAATATCCTAAAATACTCGTGTTCATTTGTGGGGACAATAATCTTCACTCACTCATAGTAGTAACAAGCAGTTTACGCGGTCATGGCGCTAGCGAATATCGATTCATCAAATGCCGAATCTGAATTTAAAATGAAAAGGGATACATACAAATTGATTGATGGAAGGATGCAACCATCCTTTTTGAATTGCTTTCAAAGTGGCAATGGCTTCCAAACCTCCAGCAGCACCAAGGGAGTGCCCTATCATAGACTGAAAAGTAATGACAAACAGAAAAAAAGCATCAGAAACAATGCAACCATGTGGTCGATGGTGCATAGGGTGGGTAGGAAGGAAGAAGAGAGGTTGCCTTAGTCGCATTGATTTTGAGCTCTGAACTAATCTCAGCTAAGTCACCGGCAATGGTGGATGTTGCATGTGCATTAATATAGTTAACCTGTAAATCAAAACACCCTTTGAACCTATTCACCAAGACACAGAACAAAAACATGAAATTGTGAGCAACCTCCTCAGCCGATATGCCAGCATCTTCAAGACAGCTCAAGATGCACGAAGACACACAAAGCCCATCAGCTCTTGGATTGGATATGTGATAAGCATCACAATTAATGGCCCCTCCCAAGTATTCACCAATAATTGGCGCACCTCGTTTCATTGTATGCTCCAAACTCTCCATTACCAATATGCCAGCGCCTTCTCCCATTACAAACCCATCACGGTCTCTATCCCATGGCCTTGAAGCAGATTTAGGATCATCATTTCTCTGAGACAGAGCCCTACAAGCAACAAAACCCCCCAATGCAATAGGAATCATGCTAACTTCCACTCCACCCGCAAGCATCATCAGCATCTCCTTGACGGATGTGATTAGCAGCAGCATAGAAGCAATAGTTAGAGGTGGCACAAGCAGTGGATATAGAATAAATGGGACCCATGAAACCAATATCGATGGCAAGCAAGGCAGACCCCATATTTGAAATGAAATAAGGAATGAAAAACGGAGTTATCTTCCTTTGACCTCTCTCTAATAAAGTCCGAACACCATCAGATAACATTGTAAGACCACCCATGGATGTTCCAACAACCACACCAGCCCGCTCTCTGTTGATCTGTACTAAAAATAAAACCATAAAAGATTAGGAGAAAAAAGAAATAATAAACTCCATTCATTTATTTAATTAGTTAATTAGAATCTTATTAATAAATCCACTTTCAATAACTATAACTAATTAATTTTTAAGACTAATTTTGATCCATTCATTTATTATTAATTTATCCTAATTTAATTATAAATTTATTTTAGCAAAACAGTTTGTAACCAAAACAGAAGAAGCAAAAAGAAATAACATTATGTCATTGATAGATACTGATATCCTGTCAATAGAATACTAGCCACTTAACCTACCAACAAAAAAAATTAATTAAATATTAAAAATAAAATAAAATATACTATAAATCAAATCATAAAGTCCATGGAGGTCAGCATCCTCCAGCTCCCTCTTGCCAGCAACAATGCAGTAGCGAAAGCAATCATCAAGCCGTTTATCATTCTTGGGGTTAACGTAGCCCTCCGAACAGAATCCCCTGATCTGTCCACCAAAGCGTGTAGGGAATTTGGAAGCATCAAACCGGTCGATGAGAGTGATGCCGCTCTCACCACAAAGCAGCCTGTCATAGTAAGCATCCACGTCGCTGCCGAACACAGAGACAAGCCCCATTCCAGTTATGACCACACGCTTCTTAGGGTCCTTCTCCCGCTTGGGCGCACCGACAGTGGAAGCCGCAGATGCAGCGACCACACAGACTCGTCGCCTGGAGTTAGAAGCAGCGCCAACGAGGAAGGGTGAGCGGTTGCGGGTGCGAAATGGGCCCAATGGAGAGGGCTTCAGCGTGGGGGAATGAATGGCCTGCATGGTGCTCGGTGCTGGAAAATGACGATTTCAAGAATGAGTTTGGCAACTTTATTTATTTA